CTGATATTCGCTTACATTCATTACCGCCTTTTGCCAGCCGTGCGGCCTCGTCCCAAGCGGCCTAAATAAAGGCGCCCCGCCACGTACAAAACAAGACAAACAGCGCGGGTGAGATGCCTGGTCAAATAATTCCCCACCCGGAAATGGGGCGGGAAAAAAAAGAAAAGAAGGACAAAACAAACAGGAAGAAATGTGGACGTGCGGGCAGCACACAGAAAAACCAAACACAAAGGAAAAATAAATGCCAAAATGCCAGAACCAAACTACACATGAAAAAAGCGGGCCATCTCCACACACCGGGAGCCACACCATCGGCACTGACAGCCGCCGCACCGTGGGACGCTCCGCCCACAAATAAACCACACGAAAACACAAGAATGCATCCCCGGCGGCTCCCAACCGCGAGGTGAGGGCTCTGGCGCGGGAAGGCCGAAGCAACGCACACACACAAAAAAAAACACGCGCTGAATCCCCTCCATCTCCCAATCGCACAATTAAAATAGAATAAAATGTAAAAAACACAGACTCACACACACCGATCATTGACGGCCCAGCACACACACGCACATCCTCATCACGTGCCCCCAGCAGAAGCACACACGCACGCGGGTCGAGGGCAGGGAGTGGCACGCTCCACGGGGGCAGGGGGCGGTCAATGACACATTCCACGCTGTTCGGCCACGGAGCACACAGGGCACAAACCGGAATGCAGCAACCAATCAAGCAATACATTAGTATTCAACACGCACAGGAAACAAATCATTTTGTCTATTTGTCAATCGCACGACGGGTATATCACGTCGTCGGAGACACGTTCCACACGGGCGACAGGCGATGTGTCGTTGCCGAAGCGCGCCATCAGTGCAGCGTAGTCGTCCTCCAGCACGTGATGGACACAAATCGAGGTCGGCACCACCTGCGAGTGCCCCGTTTCATTGCGAGCGTCATGGAAATGACAACCCAGCACCTTGACGTACAACATCGGCTGGTACTTCACTTCCTTCTCAAGAACCAAACCAACCATGGCGTCCTCGTACAAAAACCCCAGCAGTGCAAATTCGTCATCACGTTCCTTGCTGTACGGCAAGTAGGCCAGGCGGCGCAGCGGTTCGTACGACACCAACGCCTCCGCCACATCCCTCGACAAGGTGTAGCAATATCCTACAATAAACGCCACATGTAGAAAACATTTCTTAACCAAAAATGAATCTCCTGCATGGACGCCCATGTAGATCCCTCGGCGCGGCAGTAGGCGCAGGTGAGCAACAAACAGCGGCACACGGAGGAAAATGTCGTCATCGCCCTTCGCAATGTACCTCGCGGTCGGGAACAGGCGGTGCGCAAGGTCAAACCACATGTACGTCTTGCGGCTCATACCAATCTCCTCCTCATCGCTCCTCGAGCCGTATTGACCAACTGTTTTGTTAGTAGTCACGCGGCCCTCGTTCATTGGCAGCGCAACCACGTCGTGCCACTGCGACGCCTCTTCCAGCAGCGCGGCAGAGTAGTCGTAGCCGTGCGACGGGTGTCGCCCAAGGACGTACAGCGCAAGCATCGCACCGGTGAAGTCGTTCGCCCTCGTCGCCACTCCGGGGAACCGCCAGCACGTCGTCCGCTGCAGGTTGCGTCGTGTTCGCCTCGCCTCGTCGTCGGTGGAGATGATGCCCAGCACAACCAGATACTCCCGCCGGCTCCACGTATCCACAACACGGCGTGGGATGTAAGCAAGCGCTGCGTCGTCCACTGCGGAGGCTCGCGGGTGGCGGAGGTTGTTGGGTGCCGGTGCACCATCATCGGCAGCGGGGACAAAGCTGAGGGACAGAACAGTCGTGACCGCAATGAAGAGAATCAGCAGCACGGCAACCCACCTCAGCTTCCGCTTCATCGTCGGCAGCTTCGTTTTCGCCATGGTCGCTTTCGGTGTGAGAGTCTAGGCAAAGGAAAAAAGGGTGGAGGGAGTGTGAGGGCAGCATGCAGCAGACACAAACAGCACGGGCAACAACAAGAAACAACACAGCCACGCGGTGCCACGCAGCCACGCGAGTACACGAATGCCCGTCGGCCAACCCACTGCGCCCCACCCGAATCCGGGACGGTGCGGGTGAAGGGGTCAGGGCGGCGGAGCGAGCGGCGTCAGCGTGGGCGGTGACACCAGCGCACAGGAGGCACGGGAAACACCGCAAGGGCTCGTCTGGCGCCTGTGGGACGCTGCGCTTCCTCCTCACACCGCCCTCACGGCCCCAGCTACACCTGCCCAAAGAAATGGTTGACAGGCACGGGGCGGCTCAGAACACCGCACAGCAAACGAAAGCGTTACACGTGCATATGGTTTAATTTCTGGAGTGATATGAAGACCACCAGCGCCCCGCACAACGAAAGGAGCCGCCGCAAGCCCGCCGCCCACCAGCAATTCCACCCGTCGTCTGCTTCCCGTCCGCCCGCGACGCCCCTACACTCTGCAGTCTGCTACAAGAGAACACAAGCAGGGGGAAAAAGGACAGCTGCGTCGCCAACAAGCAGAGGCCGTGTGCCACTGGCGTTGTCCCGCCCGCTCGGCGCATCGGCGGCGGGGCGAGCGTCACGGCACGCACTCTCCACACACCGAGAGCCACACCATCGGCACTGACAGCAGCCGCACCGTGGGACGCCCGCCCAATTCACAAATAAATCACACGAAAACACAAGAGTACATTCCCAGCGGCTCCCAACCGCGAGGTGAGGGCTCTGGCGCGGGAAGGCCGAAGCAAGCAACGCACACACACACAAAAAACGCGCTAAATCCCCTCCATCTCCCAATCGCACAATTAAAAGAATAAAATGTAAAAAACACAGACTCACACACACCGATCATTGACGGCCCAGCACACACGCAGCACAACGCAACGGGCGCCCACTGACTCCACAACCACCTCCCGCACGCGGGTCGAGGGCAGGGAGTGACATGCTCCACAGGGGCAGGGGGCGGTCAATGACACATTCCACGCTGTTCGGCCACGGAGCACACAGGGCACAAACCGGAGTGCAGCAACCAATCAAGCAATACATTAGGATTCAACACGCACAGAAAACAGATCATTTCGTTCATTTGTCAATCGCACGACGGGTATATCACTTCCTCCGAGTACCGTTCCACACGGGCAACAGGCGATGTGTCGTTGCCAAAGCGCGCCATCAGTGCAGCGTAGTCGTCCTCCCGCACGTGATGGACACACATCGAGGTCGGCACCACCTGCGAGTGCCCCGTGCCATTGCGAGCGTCATGGAAATGACAACCCAGCACCTTGACGTACAACATCGGCTTGTACTTCACTTCCTTCTCAAGAACCAAACCAACCATGACGTCCTCGTACAAAAACCCCAGCAGTGCAAACTCGTCATCACGTTCCTTGCTGTACGGCAAGTATGCCAGGCGGCGCAGCGGTTCGTACGACACCAACGCCTCCGCCACATCCCTCGACATGGTGTAGCACCAGCCAATCATAAACAACACATCTATTGAACGGTCCTTCACCCATAACGATGATCCTGCATGGACGCCCATGTAGATCCCTCGGCGCGGCAGGAGGCGCAGGTGAGCAACAAACAGCGGCACACGGAGGAAAATGTCGTCATCGCCCTTCGCAATGTACCTCGCGGTCGGGAACAGGCGGTGCGCAAGGTCAAACCACATGTATGTCTTGCGGCTCATGCCAATAGAAGCCTCGATGCCCGAATCCCCTCCAACACCTACTTTTTTCTCTGGTGAAACACGGCCCTCGTTCATTGGCAGCGCAACCACGTCGTGCCACTGCGACGCCTCTTCCAGCAGCGCGGCAGAGTAGTCGTAGCCGTGCGACGGGTGTCGCCCAAGGACGTACAGCACAAGCATCGCACCGGTGAAGTCGTTCGCCCTCGTCGCCACTCCGGGGAACCGCCAGCACGTCTTCCGCTGCAGGTTGCGTCGTGTTCGCCTCGCCTCGTCGTCGGTGATGATGCCCAGCACAACCAGATACTCCCGACGGCTCCACGTTTCCACAACACGGCGTGGGATGTAAGCAAGCGCTGCGTCGTCCACTGCGGCGGCTCGCGGGTGGCGGAGGTTGTTGGGTGCCGGTGCACCATCATCGGCAGCGGGGACAAAGCTGAGGGACAGAACAGTCGTGACCGCAATGAAGAGAATCAGCAGCACGGCAACCCACCTTAGCTTCCGCTTCATCGTCGGCAGCTTCGTTTTCGCCATGTTCGCTCTTGGTGTGAGAGTCTAGGCAAAGGAAAAAAGGGCGGAGGGAGTGTGTAGTAGAACCGATCAGCAGACACAAACAGCACGGGCGACAACAGGAAAA